TCCAGGCTGGAGTCTTACTTGTAGCTAAAACTCTGCCTCCTAACATGGCCATTAGCAGGTAGGAGAAAGCACAGTTAGGTTTTGCTCCTTGTCTAGATAAAGAGTTTAACCAAAACTGGGTGGGTTATCAAGATAGCAAGAACAGGATATTATCAGATGAATACTGTACTAAAGTTCAAACATATGAAGGAAGAAATTAAACTCCACAAGTACAAGAAGACTGGGTTATGAAATTAAAAATTAAAAAAATAGCCTAAGAACACTTTTTTTTGAATTCTCTTTATTCTTCCAGGTTCTCTCAACCACTGCATATTCCTAAACTCCTGTGTGCACACAGTCTTTTTATTTTCCACAGTCTTTGGGTCAGGAATTTTCTCTGTCATGTATCTAAACCCACCAAATACTACTTTGTGACTACATAAAAAAATGAATTTAATATTAAAGCACTTGAGAGAAAAATTACAATTCAGCACACTGTTTTGTGCACAAATAAAACAATTTTATATGTTATATTCTATGATCATAGTTTAAAGCATCCAAGAAGAAACATTGCTGGGGAAAAAAAAAAGCAAACCAGTTTATCTTTTAGAAGGAATACAGTTACAATTTTATCTTTCATATTTTAATACATGATACAGTATTTCATATAGTTTGCTTATATTAAAATAAGAAACAAGAACTCCACAATCTAAGTTCATTTTCTTAAACTGAAACTCCAAAACAAAACAAAACTAAGCTACAGCTTCCAAGTAAGTTAAGGAACATGTAATGTTTCTTGGATTCTCCTTTCATATAGAGTGCTTTTTTAAGCATGGTGTGTCTCTAAGTAACTTCTGAAGAAATATTTCTCAATAAATAGATAATAAAAATAAATTCATTTTGATCTCTGATTTAAGAGCTTTAGGCTATGGGGATATTGAGTTTATGACCAGAATTTGACAGATGGTAACTTCTGTGTAGCTTGAACATTATACATTTGTAATGCCCTTGTCAAAAGTATAAAGTCTATTGCTAAAAGGAAATTAGCAATGCATAAACAGGTACCAAAGTCAATATGAAAATCATGTGAAAAACAAGAGAGATTAACTGCATTATTTCCTCCCTTGACTATTTAACTTCTGTTACCCCATTCAGTCGACAGAAGGCTGACATGATCACACCATCTTAATGACTCAATTCCTCCAAAACAGGCAAGGGAGCTTTAAATAATTAGACACCTAAGTCTAATTTATTATTTTAAGAATGTTGGATAAATTTAATTTTTATTATTTTCTTGACAGACAAGGCAGTCTTAGATTCTTCTTCTTATTACCACAGGATCATCAATCACCTGCTTATGTGAAGAAAACAAACCTCAAAAAGCAGCTTTATTCCCATCACCTTTGAGCAATTTATAAGAGAATTACACAAGGAAGCCAAGACCCTTCACAAGACTTGAAGCCCCAATGCCATTAGTCATTTACCCATGTGTTGCAAAGGGGCTGCGTAATGTTAACACCATAACTGGTCACAATTTATTCATGCAACAGAAAAAAAAGTATTTAAAAGTACTTGAAAAATTATTTGAAGTGCTAAAAAAACCATGCAGAGACAGATGGAGAAAGACACATTGAACTGAAATGTTCACAGAGACCAGCTTTGCCTTTTTTTTTGACTCTCTTGTTCAGAAGATGGTCTGGGCAAAATTAATTGCATCCTGACAGTATCAACCATAATGTATCAATTACTTTAAAGAAAAATAATAATGGAAAAGCCCGGACATATTTTAGAGCTGACAAGAAATTATTTAAAGTTATAATTGTAATCAACTTCTAAATAACTCAAAACCAGCTGATGTTTAAATTCATAGTCTAGTGACAGAATATTTAATTCTTTTCCAGGTTAATTTAACAAAATGAACTATCAGCAATGGCATATCTATTCTTCTCGATAAACTTGTCATACTAATTTAGATAGACATGGATTTTCTTTTCCTGATTTATTGAAAAGGTTTAACAAATCCCACTGATACATAAAAAAGTTACACTGAAAAATATTAATCCCAAAATATGATCAGATTATTTTTATTGGACAGGTCTGATAACAATTTTCTGAACTACGTTTTTGTCTGAATTTCTGCAGAATTTATTTGCCTTATTTCTAGGCCCAAAGACTAGAAAAGACTAACAAGGCAGCCTTTTGTTACCCATATATAAAACATGCTCCATTTTTACGAAACACAGCAGAAGATAGCCTCTTAACCTTCAAAATATGTCATGTAGACGGCAGCAGGAGTAAAACAATGCAGCACCAGATCTGCATTTCTGCCTTATGGAACTGCTTCTTTGGGAACACCTGTGGCACTTCTAAATGAAACAATACATAGAATGTTCATACATGGAGACTCCCTCTTTCTTCTTCACTGTCAAAAGCTCCCATTGGGGCTTTCTTTTATCCTTTCAAAAAAAGATCTACGGGATATGCAACTAAATCTAGGTGATGTACAAACTAAGTAATCCACGGTGTGGTTGCCTGAACTGTTCCTTTAGTATTTTATGAGCACTGCCTGAAATCACAGCCTTTGTCCTGCAATAGATTTTATGTATTTGAGATATAAACACAAGTAAAGTTAACCATGTCCCTCAGCCTTGCAGGATTAGCACAGATCTTTAATTCCTTAATCCATATTTAGGCACAATAAATAATAATGGCCTTAAGCTGCAGCAAGAAAGATCTAGCATTAAAGGGTAGTGAAACACTAGAGCAAATGGAAAAGGGCATTTAAGAAAAACCTCCATATGCGGGGGTTTTTAAGATCAAATGAGGCAAAATACCTGGCAAAAATGACATTTACAGTCAAACCTACCTTGTAAAGAAAACAAATTAAAAACCTCCAGAGATCACTTAGAACTTAATTTTTCTGGATTCAGTGATAAATTGGAAAGTTAAGCTATAAACCATTCCAAATACAATTCTCCCAAAATTTTAGATGCATTTGTTAACTGTTAAAGTGGCTGAAGTCCAAAACCTATTCTTCCTGAACACTGAGACTAGGATCAGCTAACAGAGATCAACATCCAATGGTCAATACTGTCACCAAGCAACACCAGAACAGTACTTACTGCTATCATAATTGAGTAAGTTCGTTTTGAAATTCTAGAGGAAAATATTAAATCTACAAAATGAGCAAGTCTCGTCACTGTTCAATAATCTATCCATTGTAAACCCAAATATTTATATGACCTTAAAAAGGGACAATATAACACAATCCTGAATTCTATTCTACTTTTCTGCTATGCAATATATCAACATCTAATATGCACCACATATGGATTTATTCATAGATTTTCAACAGCAGCTGTGTAAATTTCTCACAGAACTTCTGGGCTGATACCTTAATAAGGATATACCTCTGCAGCAGTGTTCAGAGGTTTGTGTTCTAATGCTTTATTTAGAAGTCACTAAAGTCCCCCCTGTACAAAAGTGAATGTTACAGGTCTATTTAACTACAAAGCATTATGAGACTTCATTTAGTTTTGTTAGCATAATACAGAAGAAGGACAGTACCCCTCTAATATCTGAAAGATCAAATCAAAGAATAAACAGAGATTATATGGCATGGAGAGAAAGGGTGCTTCATTATCAGAATAAGCAGCTGGAACTGATTTCTGCACTGGGAAACAGAAACCCAATGAACTATCCAAAGAGAACTATGTAATTCAAAAGATTTAAGGCCAGTATTGAAACAGACTCTGGATTCTGAATAAAAATCCTATCTAGTGTGAAAAATACAACCTGGAAGCTGTGCTTTAGAACAGTTTCCTATCCATAATCCCAACAGTATCAAGACCCACGATTATGTTGTTCTGACAAAGTTACTTCTCACCCAACCTAAAAACCATCTTTAAACCATTCCACCCCAAGAAAGAACATTCTTGATGTGCCACCAGTCATGCTGTGCTTTGTTTCAGTCTCTTAGGCTACTTTGATAGTTCTGCTTGTACTCAGGTTCAGAATGGAGATCGGAATATAGTGCAGACCCAATTTCCAAGCCAGTAATTCACCCTTGTGGGTACTGCTTTCAAATGCAAGGAGCATTTGCCTTTCTGTATCTGCAGGTTGTACTTCTGATTTTCCTTATAGTTAGGCAGTCTCCAAGCTGAAGTAGATGTAGTAGTTCAATAAACACTACGTATCAAGTGTTTTACTTCAGCAAGCTCACCTGGGTATTTCATTGGCTGTAGACTGCCCCTAGCAGCAAATGACAATGATTCTGGACAAACATACATCCACAGCATCATCTCAATTGAAAAAACAAAATTAACTTGTCTTATCTAAGCTTAGGACTTCCTTCTAAGACAGACAGAATCCATTTAATTCTGGCAACATCATTCAGAAAGCATGTTTCTAACTGATGCCAACTTAGAGCCCACTTTTTTATAGATCCTGCACTGCTTCTCTTACATCTTTTGACAACACTAAACACTGGTTCTGAAGCTACCTGGCCACAGTTTCTCATCAGAAAGCTAGCTTGTCAATGCTAAAGGACTGGAACCTCCTGTCATCAACTCCAATCAGGCAAATGTCTGCTCTAATTGGAGAGGTAAATTTGGAAGGTTAAGACTTTGCCCAATTCCTCAGAACATCACAGTAAGACTAATTATAACAACTTTATCTAACATTCACTCTTAAAAGTAATATGGCTGTAAGCAGGCATAATATACATGGGGCACTTCAGCGGGAGGAGCTGAAGACTTTGTCCTCAGTTAAACTTTATGTAGCTTCAGTAAGCTGAGTGACACTGTATGGCTATAACCAAGTGAGGTATCTGGTCTTCAAACTCTAACAATGGAAACCAACCCACAGGGATGTACATCCTCATTTTGCTTATGTTGCAAAAGAGTGACACCCACTGGCAGCAACAGTTTAAATAATTGTTGCAATTTGGGTCTACTCGATAAGAGTCGTTAAAAAGTTTCACTTGAAAAAAATTCATCATAGTACCAACCATACACACTTACCTGTTGAGTCAGAACTACTCCCTGAGGTTGCAGAGGCTGAAATTCTAGCGGCATCTGGAGTATCTGCAACGTAACCCTCCGGAGGAAGATTCACTGTGTACATTCTCTTTGGAGGCACAACTGTATTGTCACTACCTACAAAACAGAAAACACAAAGTGCCTGGCTATTGATTTCAGTATAGATTTTCTCAAACGTTTTCCCAACTACAGCAATGATAATATGTGGTCTCAAAAATCCTTACAGATAAAAAGAAAGTGAGAGAAAGTCAGGTTTAGAACACTGAAATTATCCTATGACAAACAAAACTGCACCAAAATCCATACCAGCTACATTTAAATACTACATAGATTAGCTCTTCCCATCAGAAACATTTTTTTCTGCTTGTGTCAGACAACTTTTCTACTCCAACTTTAGAAGAAACTTCCATTTACAGTGTCCTCATCCAGCATGAGCAAACACTTCTTCTTTACAAATTGTTTTATAAAAGATAGGTGGGGAGATTCAAGCTGATTATATAGCCATAGAAGAAAAAGAATCAGAACTGTGGGTTGTCCATTTGCAGACCTTTTAAACATAGCCTATACTTGTTTCCCCTTGGCTGCCCAAGCATCTCTTCATCCTTTCTCTGTTTCTTTCTGTGTCTGTATGTGTGTGAGGGAGGTGGAAGTGTGTCAAACACCAGCTTTCTAACTACTCCACTGTATAGGAAATCAGTTGTGATGATGGCAGTAGACCGTTTTTGTGGGACTTCTTTCACCTCTAAAAGGCATTTAAAAATGCATTCAACTTTTCATTTGCTCACTAGACAAGAACTAACTCTGTTGGAATAACAGATGCACCTCTGCTCCAGTTACATAAAACCAGTCCAAACAGCATATTGTATTTTTTTTTTCCCCCTCAGCAGTATATCTCAACCACAGGGAAACAAAAAGCTTTCCAGAAGGCCAGGATGTAAGGGTGCCTCCAGATGCTGCATAGCAATTTCAGACAGTTCAGTGTGGTGGGTTTTTTTGTTGTTGGATGGTTTTGCTCCATAAGCCAACACAGACACAGAACTAGCCTTCCCTTCACAGGGGCCACCTGCTCCTTTAAAACACATAGCCAGAACTGTTAAGATAGTATCTTTGGCAGGTGAACACAAATTAACTTCCTTACACCACAAGCTTGCTTGAAGACCCCGGGTGATCTGAATCTATTACCAAGCTACTATGATCAAATTAATAACTAAACCTTTAAAATGAAGTTGTGTCTGATTGAAATTTCTTGTTAGGCATCTGCTTCTGAGGTGTAATTTAACTATACACATTGCATGCAAATACATAATTTAACTATACACTGACATTTCTCAGAGAGCACACTTCAAAGAGTTCAGTGTGACTGATCATTTTAGATATCTATGATGAAGTACATTTCAGAACATTCAAGGTACTTTTAAAAAGCTACATCACAGCTGTTTTCATCATCAGGATGTAATTATTTTGTTTTGAGAATACATTAGGAAGTTACTGCTTTTTCTTGAACAAGCCAGAAAATTTCAAACTGATATTGATGATGCTTATTTTAAAGGATAAGAAAGGAAAAGAAATAAATAATACAGAAAGATGAAGAGCAATTACATGATTTGGAAAAAGATCCACTAAAAATTAATGTGGCATAATTCTTCAACAGATCCTTTCTATGAAGATGATGCCAAGTCACTGAACTGGCAGTACTTGCATTGATTCCCCCCCCACTCCGTTCATTAATGATGAAGTGATAATTGGCAACAGTTTTAAATTACAAGGATGTAAAAATACTTCTTGAATTACTTCCTTCTGAACAATTTTCATTTTTCCGTTTTTTCCCCATTTTGAATTTAGTTTTTTGTAAAGCAAAGATTGCTATGAGATCTTTAAACTCAATTTGCAGTAGTCCCGCCTAACTCAAACCCTTTAATCTTAAAAGAAGTAGATATATTGGGATAACAGCTTCCCAGGACAAAACAGTTATACACAACAGAATTTGGGGAAATATCTGTAATGCCTAATCTTACAAAGAACAGTAACAACTTTTACTATGTAAATGAACGATGAATAAAAGCAATTTCAAGTTTAAACAGGAGTCCCCAAAAGCCATATTTATTCACCCCATATGCATCTTCAAGTAGTCTGCAAACCATAAATCAAGCGTCTTTGTTAATCTTGTGTAAGTACGTAAAACCAAACTGCTATTATATCATAAAAATATATACACACAACTGTATAATCTCAGTGTATCAAATCTCCCAAACTACTAAATAAAGACTTTTCTGGCCTGAAGCCATAGTCTCCTTGGGCTGAGACTGCTTGGGTATAAAATCATAAACATTGCTGCAAAGCAAATGGCTAAGCTTACAAAAATGTGACATAAAAAGTTTTTCTTTGACTAACGAAAGTAATCAGATACTGGAGATATTCAAGAATACTCTCATTTCCAATAGTTAAAAAGTCACGAATCCCATTTTTGAAGTTTTATTTTATGGAAGAAAAAAAAGCATCTAAAGGTCATTTAAAAACTAGAAAACCAACAAGCATTACTCTTAAAGGCAAACTAAGAATACAGAATAAAAATTTTGAATTGTCTCCTATACATGTTCTTCTCCACAATATTCCCCACACTAAGAGCTCCTTTGCATGTAAATCAACCTTGTGCACCGAGTAAAGAAATGCATCTAAACTATACTGTTACCAAGGTTGCACCTGTGAGTATGTCAGTAAATGGTGTACCGATGTTATCCCTTGCTATCCTACTGCAATCAAGTATTGGGCCTTTTAAGAAGGAGCTGAGGGTAAAGCTTCCAGCCACGTAAGACTGCCAACTGCCCAGTCTGTCATTATCTCAGGCAGATGCAGGACATTTTATTTTAAGCCTAGTTTTCAGCATCCTTAAACCTTCCCCTATCTGCAGCTCAATGGTGGCTGTTGTGGTTTAAGCTCAGCTGGTAATCCAGAACCACGCAGCCTCTGTGTCACTCCCCCGTCTCCCAGAGGGATGGGGAGGAGAATCGAAAGAGATCCCACGGGTTGAGATAAGAACAGTCCAGTAAATAAGGTATAACATAGATCACTGCTACTGCCACCAATAATAATAATGATAGATAAGGGAAATAACAAGGGAAGAGAATACAACCACTCACCACCCGCTGACTGATGCCCAACCCCGGCAGTGATCTATCCATTCCGAGTAACTGCCCCCAGTTTATATAGCAGGCATGACGTGCTGAGGTATGGAATACCTCTTTGGCTAGTTTGGGTCAGGTGTCCTGGGTCTGATTCCTCCCGGCTTCCCCTCCTCCCTGGCAGAGCATGAGACTCAGAAAGTCCTTGGTCAGAGTAAACATTACTGAGCAACAACTAAAAACATTGGTGTGATAAGCACTGTTCCCAGGCTGAAAGTCAAAATCACAGCACTGCACCAGCTACTAAGGAGAAAAATGACAGCTACTGCTGAACCCAGGACAGTAGTGGTAGATTACACTAGCATGGTTTTCAGATCTCCAGAACACAAAGCATGCTTAGGCACACCTCAAATGCAGAGCTGGCCAGATGTGTTTGCATAATCTTGGTCCTGTGCTTGCTCGTAAGCCTGATTAAACCCTAGGCAGAGACTGAATTGCTTCCAAGTTTCTAAGGTGGGTTGACCCTGGCTAGCAGCCAAACTCCCCCTACACAGGATGAGCGTGAGGTACAGAAAGCATGGGAAGAACAGGAATGAGAAAGCTCACATGTCAAAGACAGGGAGATCTCTTACCAACTACTGCTGTAGGCAAAACAGACTCAACTTGGGAAAAACGATTTAATTTACTGCCAGTTACTCAAAATATTTATTTACTGACTCAGCCATTGGGAAACAGAAGCAAAAATTAAAAACGCAAACATTAAAACACTTCAGAAAAACACCTTTCCTCTCCAGTTCACGTTTACTTCAAACTTCTTCCAGCTAACTATCACCTCAGGTTACACTCAGTCCCTGCAGTGAAGCAGCGCAAGGTGGCCTTGGAAGCTGTTTACAGTATGCATGTAACAGCTTCTCTTTGCTGACTCTTCCTTTCTATTATTCCCCGGTGCCAGTGGGGGTTCTCTGTGGACTACAGTCCTTCAGGAACATTTGATCAATCACAGAGAACCTCCTTTGCCTCTGTTCCTGCTGTTACTTGTCTGCCCTTCTTGTTCCATTCTCTCTTGGAGTGTTCTCTCCTTTCTCACACGTTTTCCCAGAGGCACCATCACCTCTGCTGCAGGGTTGGACTCAGATGTGCCCTACGGTGGGTGGGTTGGATCCAGCTGGAACTGGCTGTGTCTGGCACGGGGCAGCCCCAGTATACGCACTCATTAGAGCTTTGCAATGGTATACATTGATCTTGTCTTTCCCATGAATTGCTTCATGGGAAAGACAAGCTCTCTGCAACTCAAATCCCTGGTAACCCACTGCTGTGCTCCCACAGGGCAGAGCTCCTGGAGCAAATATATTACTCAAGTCCAGAACTCCGCTAGAACATCTTGCCACCTCTCTCAAATGACTGTCAAGTCAGCCTAGCCTGACCACAACTGCGATCTTTCCCACAAAATTATCCCCTGGGAACACCTAGCTATCACTTCTCCACATGGAAGAGTTTCCTCTGCAAAAGAGGTCTTTACAAAAAAGTGAAAGAAGAGAGGGTTTAATACTAGATCCAAGGTTTGACTAGTTCAGTGTCACACCTTGACTACAAAAGTCATTATTCTTAGTAGGCACTTACTATGTGGTGTTACAGAAGATACAGCATGGACAAAAGTAAGGCTCTAAAAAGGTCTGTTATCTCCTTTAAGAAGTTTGTATTAAAGTATATTTGTACTTACCATGTAAGCTAGAATGTGACCATCTTGTAGCTATTCCTCATTTTTATTACATTTTATTAGTGAGACTACAACCTGAAAACCATGGCAATCCCCAGTGCACACATGCAACCCTTCTTTATTCTTTACACAATATATATCCAGTATTACTTTCTCCCTCATTGACTTGCATGACAGCATCTTTAAAGACAATGCACATGCAAATCACAGGCAAGAGTTTTGTCTCCTCCAAAAAACCTTCATAAATTTAAGTGCAGCAAAGGTGGTATCAATGACTAATA